ATTCACCAGCTGTATGCACCGAGAGTGAAGACTGTACTATGAGTGAGGCCCGGTGCAGGAGGGGCGGGCACAGTAGGGTGTGCCACACGACGTGGGCAGCGGAGCAGTGCCTATACCACCCTGCCGCTCACCTCGCACCTCAGACACGCCACAGCTGGATTTGGTATTATTGCAGGCCAACAAATATCCGAGCAAATATTTCTCCAGAGCAAACACAACAGCTTCATCACGGCACCAAGAAAATTACTTTTTTAAAATCTATTGTGCTTATATGTCACAAGACAGTCATGATCCCACCATACATACACTGTGGGAGTCTGCTTTATGAGGTGAAGTATTAGTCATTTTGTCATCTAGTTACCTAGTAATTTTTTAGGTTTTCTAAAAAATCTTCTAAACTAAATATCACTTGAGATCAGAGACAAAAACATAACTGGCTCATATAAAGTGCCTAAATAAGAGACCATAATAATTAAGACACATCGCACTATATTTGTCTATTTTAACAGCAATTTTAAAAAAGACACCATAATAGCATTAGCATAAAAATATAAGAAATGTATTAGCATTTTGGGGGGGATTTGTAAACAGATCTTGCCTCAGTTGATAGGCATTAATCGATAAGTTTTGCTAAATTAATTGTGAAATGTATCTGTAAAAGTTCTGGAGTAATAACAAAAAATGTAGTCTGATGATTAAATGATTGTGCAGAGAGTTCTCAAAGGTTTACAGTTGTAGACATTTCTTAAGTCAGTCAGTAGTATTTTAAAACAGTGAATTTTAACTATTTCTTTTTCAGTTTAAACACCTCCAGCCACTACGGTTTCATAAAAGAAAAATCGATAGAAATTCAAGTACAGAGTTTGCCAGTGTTGTGAAAATGACAGCTGCCTTATATGTCTCAGCATCATTAACTTTTTCGGTCAGGCACAGAAACAACAAATAAATCAGGTAGCAACAGGCAACAGCTTGTGATCTTCACTCTGTCTTTCCTCCCAAATTTACATCACTTTTGGAACAGTCCTTGGTCTTTCAATTTGAAATTGCCATTTGTCCACCCAGTCTCAGAATGCGGGTTATAAATTGACTCTGCTTGCCAATACATCCCTCATCTCATACCAGCACAAGAGAGAAGTCATGACCTTTACAGTAAAAATGCTGTAAAAAATCTAGCCATCTGTTTTGCTACACAGGCCACAGCACAAACAGAAGAGCTAGACTGCAGGGCAGAGAACAGCTTTCAGCTCGCATTGGTGACGCTGAGAGCAAGCTCATGGGTGATAGGCCAGCTGCTGGAGCAGCAGAGAAGAGTGGGGACACACTGGCTGACTGTGGACCTGCCAAGCGCTGGAAAAGCCCCCTGGAGTGGTGAGCCACAGGCAGGTAAAGGTATAGCAACTCATTAACAATTCACTATCAACATGTAGTTAACAGAAACAAAACACACATCTGAAATATAAAGTGGTTCTTATTAAAGGCAGGTGTGAACAATTCAAAAGACTTAGAATTCCCGTTGTTTGTTTTGCTTTAGACTGAAAGTCACACCCACTTCCCCTATCCTGACTGGATGTAGAGTGATCTGGTTAGGCAATAACCAGATTTTTTACATTAAATACAAGAGTGACTAACCTTGTTCCAAATAAAGGACACCAATGCTGAAGTCTGCAAATAAGTCAGCATTTCCAGTCATGGTGGCTATTCTTTCAACATACTTTCTCTTTATTACCGTGTATCCTGTTCATGAGGATAATAAACTGAATAAATATTTCTTCATCAATGTCACTACCTATTAGGCTAAAAACACATATACAATTGGTCCAGGCCAACAGAATATCATGCCTGCTCTTTGAGAAGAGACAAGAAGTGAATTTCACAAGCTTTCTAATACATCAAGACAGCCTAAATGAGAAATACTTCTCAATTCCTGTCCACCTGTCACAGCGAGCAGTCTTACAGGCTTGTGCCTCATACATCAAAGCGCCAAGAAGATACAGTTAATGACCTGAGAGAAAGCAGCAAGCCTGACATAAGGCTCCACAGCCCAGTCCCCAGCCATAATCCAAACAACACCAAGTCATAGCTACCAAACATGACAGAATGACAATCATAGCAAATACATGAAAAAATACACAAACCAAATAAATCTAGATAGATATATCATAGAAAATATTAATTTGGTCCAATATACATTAATAAAGAGAAAACAGAGTAAGGATCAAGGTGATGTTTGCACTCCATCTAATAACTGCTGATGGTAGTAATTTTTTTTACAAAGAAATAATCTCAGGTAAACAAACATGTAAAGGCTGTAGCAAAATTCAGCAGCTCAGCAGCCTGAGCTGAAATTAAAAATGGAATCTGTGCACTCCAGCCAGTTGAAAACTGAACAGTTGCAAAGAGGGTGCAGCACATGGGCAGCTGGACTCGAAGCCACCTGTGTCGTTACAACACAGAGATCAGGACACAAGAAGCCCTGCATGCTGCATGCGTTTTGCCAAATGAGCCAGAGCCCACTAGCAGTAGAGAACATGGAGCCACAGCAAACTCACAGATCACTCTCTTTGCTACAGCACACTGAATGAAATACATTGAGACACAGCAGTTATATGTTCAGACATGGGGTTAGTATCTGATGGAATCTGTTCAGAAACTCAGGTGACCTGTAGTATCTGACGAGTGCTGAACACAGTTTCAGTCCATTCTCCTGCATACTGACCAGCTGACTATCAGCATCAATAGGTTTCCCTTCTCCCTGCATAGGAAGGGCTATACAACTCACAGGAGTGCAATTAGTTTAGATGTAAATGAATAAATCCCCACAAATCTATGTCTTTCTGTTAAAATCACTTTATAAATACCTCAGTCTAAATGTTTGTCTTTTAAGAGCAGGTAGAGTCAATATTGACATAATAATGTTTAGTCTGACATAAAAGAACTCGGTATTAAATCGCTGGAATCCTTTTCACAAAATGAAAAATAACCAGTCGTGCCATTTGTTTCCACTTAGATGGTGGGTCACAAACCCAGCTGTCTGAGTTTGCTCAGGAGAAGCTTCAACTCATTCTGTATCTCCTCATCTCAAGTAAAACTGGAGCATGGTCAATAAGGATACACCACTCACACACAAGGTTACAAAAACAACAGAATACAGATAAATGATTTGCCGGACTGCTGGGGTTGGGGGTGGGGGGGTGGGAGGAGCCAAAAAAAGCTGCAGTTGTTTAAGGCACTGTGCAGAAGCGGAGGTACATTGATCCCTGACATTAATTCTGTACATGGCAATAGTCCAACATGCCGCCTACAGAAAGGATGACGCAACTTCTTGAGGTGTGTCTGCTTTGATTCTTTTGTTTTGGTCCAATCCCAAAATCTCCTTGATAGACAGAGTACAAATAAAGGGCCCTGGAAACAAAAAACAACTGCGTGGCACAGTAAACAAACAACTCCTATAATCACATCTTACTGCTCTGGGACTAATGTCTATGAGTACTGTACTATACTAGCAGTTAAAGCTATTAACTACAGACCTACGTGCCCTAGGGAAACTGTGGCTGGAACATACGAAATCTAGCTCTAATATTTACAGCACTGTCATCACCCTGCAGAACAGCAGCTGACCCAAGTCTGACAGTACAGCAGCACGTGATGTACAGAAGAGGCAGCCTGCCAGCTTGAGCTGCCTTACTGACTGCTGTAAAAATGTCACAAAAATCACAGTTCAGTATTTCCATTCATACAGGACTCCCAATTCTCGTTAAGCTAATAAAAACATACAGAATAAAATAGTGTACCCATGTATTTTAGTTCACTTAATTTAGAGATATTTTTACTAATTTCTGACTGAAGATCTTTAAATGATAATTTCATGTATCAGAAACCATTGTTATAATTTTAGAAACCAAATTAACCCTCATTTTATAATTTTGCTGGGCTTCTAGCATTCATTTTCTTTTCACACAATGCCGCTAAATTTGTATTTAGCACTACAAAAATAACCCCATTTTTACTATCTTCCCTTTTTGACACACATTCATTCAGGAAAAAGACTACATTACACAATAAAATATGCAAAGGGTTAAGTGGGATGACAGGCTGCAGTAACATTCGTCCCTTACAAAGAACACCAAACTTACACAGTGCACCCGTGGTATCTGGGCTGCTGCAGGCGAATACACCTGTGGCAAATGTTCTTGTGATCTCCATGAGCTGTGATCCTGCTGCAGCTCCACCTGCTGTCCAGTAATTGGAGTTAACCAAATCTCAAAAACAAATCTTGAGCCCTCTACATAAGTCTCTACTAGCACTAGTCTCCTCAATCAAAGTCACCACAAACTGATCATCAGAAATGGAGGAAAAAAAACAAAGAGTATTAAGATCAACCTATATGATTGATCTGGTATATAACATCCTCATCCCCATAAAGTTCACTATGAGGAAAACTCACAGGTTCCTGCCACTTTGTGCAGGGATGGAGTGTGCAGGGATGGAGGCAACTCAAGACAAAGAACTCCAGTGAATTTAAGTGAAATCATTGCCAAGCCCTGCTCTCACATCCGCAAGCAACAGTTTGCCCTGAAAATCACAACTCTTCGATTAGATGATACCACAGAAAGAGTGTTAAAGCTCAGAGCATTGTCCATTAAAATGGAGACTTTTCTCTCCTGACAAGTTAGCAGCTCCAACAAGGGTTTCATATTATCACTGGGGACCATACAGTACACAATGTGGTCACCACAACACACAAATACTAGGATGAGAAAAAGTGTCACAGAAAGACCAGGCAGGAACCATATTTCTTTTCCTCGCTAGTGCCATTAGTGCAAACAAGACACTGGAGAGAATCCATACTTTACCAGTGACAAACAGGCAAGGACCCTAAGTGTCTCCTGTACTGTTTTTAAATATTGGACTCGAAAACTAGACCATAGTGTCATGGAATGGTCATGTTTACAGTTTTGGCAGTCAGACTAAGATGTCATGACATGTAGACCATTGCTTTGTTTTTTTGCTTGAACAGCACAGATTGGTTTTTCCAACCATCTGCATCAACGTACCTCCTGTACAGTAATAATGTGTGCCAACTGCTAAACGAGGTAATGGCAGAATCCACAAAGTCACTATAGGGGTAATTACAGACACAAAGGTTTAAAAAGAATCTCAGTGAGTGATACTAATCTAATTTGTAGCTGCCCTTATACACGATTCTGACTGTGCTACACCTGCTCTACAACAGGAATTAAACTGCCAAATTGAAAGATATCAGTTCAATGCTCCTCTAACTTTAGATTCCTTTTATACATCTCTGGACTACAATGGTCCCTGCTGCACTGAGGAGGAAAGGAGCTTCTTAATTCAGACATTCGGCTGAGACTTAGGTTGGCACCTGGGGCACTGATGCCACTATGGAACTGTGTCAGCACTTCTGGTACAGATGTATGTCACTAGACTACCTCTTAACAAGGATGTTTTTTTTTAGGGACTGCGAAAATACTTCAGTCATGTGTGAGATTATTAAAACAAAAGAGGAGCACAAAGGGAGAGAGGCTGGCCATATTTTGCTGAGTGAGAGACAAAGAAACAGCACATTCAGAGTAAGGCAGGGGTGACAGCGTCACCTGAACTGAACTGGGGCTACACACATAGGCTGAAGCTACACACAGGCTGAGCAGTTTCAGGGGGAAAGAATCAAATGAATCTTGTGTAGTGGCTTATGGGATACCAATGGGATTTTTATCAAGCAGGTCACTACCATAACCTTTGGTACATGAAAGCAAGTCCTTTTTTTAAACAGCCGATTGTTCTCTTTCTTTAAAGAAGTTCTTCCTCTTTGTTGGAGCAGGTTGTCCAATACAGATGGGAGAACTGGACCTGTGTTCGTGACCACAAAGGGTGCAGAGAATTACAGAAAATGACATTTCAAAACATTGAATCATGCCTCGTTTCCCAAACAGACTGCTTCACGTAGGTTGACAGTGACGTTATCTTGCCGGGTGGCAGATCAAGCCCGAGACCCCCCTAGTTCAACTCACCTGCCCTTCTTTGGGTGAGAGAACCCTGTTCAGCCCAGTGCGCTCAGTTCAGGCTTCACGTGGTTTTGGTTCTTAGGCTTAGAATCACGAACACCCTTGTTCACGAGACCAAGAGAAATCTGCAAACAGTCAAGCTACAGGTTTAGACGGCTATTGAGAGAGCATGGTGACAAGCGACGGAGAGAGGTGCTCCAGCCCCTGGATGCCTCAGACCGAGGCGTAGGTGTTTCCGGTGGCGCTGCAGTGCCGGATGGTGGGCGTGCCAGGGAGGATGTGCTCAGGTGGCAGAGAGTTCAGGATGATAGGCTGAACACCGCCGTCCAGCGCCCCCTGTAAAGCCTGGCTCACCTCTGCTTTCTCTCTCTTAGCCAGTGGTTCCCCCGAGTCCTCCATTTCATCCTCCATCTCGCTCTCCGCGTCACTCACTTCATCTGCTCAGAAGGGAAACGCATACATAAGGACAATCTGGATTCCTTGCCTCTCTGATTCAGCAATGTCCTGTTTTACTAGACTGGGTTGATAGACCCAGCTCATCAAGGATCTGCTTTCATTAAACTTCGATCTCTTAACCTGCTAAAGTGCTTCTACTTGAATACAATCACACACATTTGAATCCTTGGGAGCTATGTTAGTAAGACGCAGAAAATAAAACTCAAGAGTTTCTTTGCAGCAGAATCATTGGGTCACCGACAAATACTGTGTCCATGCGTTACTTGCCCCTTAATTTTCAAAGTGAAAAAATGAGCGCAAATTAAGATAAGTGCCTCAATAGCACAATGAACACAGTGGTCGTTTGATGCAGACAGAAAATAGCAAATAGCAATGCGTTTCAAGTACAAAGCTATTCCCCGGCCAGCATCATAGGTAGCCTGCATCTTTGATGAATCTTCAAACTACTTGTTGTGGTCAAATAAGACCTTGTTCAGGATAACGTTGTTCAGTTACAAAAAAAAAGATATCTTGCTAGTTTGCAAGAGAGTAAAGAAATCTAATTTTTAGAAGGCTAGGGGGCGTGGCTGGGAGGGGTGGAGGTTACCATCTGCCTAAGCCTTTCCCTGCAGGAAACCCTGTTGCAAAATTAACAAGCTTCTGGTATTGCCTTGAAACGACAAAAACCTTGTTGCCACTGCCTGCTTCACTATTAACTACAATAGTTAAAGTATGTGGTTACCACATGTAAAAATGTGAAAATGACAGAGGAGCAATGAAAGTCCAGCAAAACTTAAATATATCAAGAAATTCTTTATATAGTATCTGTTTAACCAACTGTTATTATTTAGTTAGCATATACAGATCTATTTTTTTGTAGTGATATCATGCACCACACAATCAACAGCTGTAAAGTGTTATTTACCTTTGTCGATATTTGCAGGTGACATGGTATTGAGATCATCAAACTTCAGGGTGAAGAGAAAAAAAAACAGTTACATGACACACTGAGTCTCTTGTGCAATACATTCACAGCAACACTTCACAATAACAGGCTTCTTTCAGTTAAAAATGATATCAGTTAGGGTATGCAAGAAATCCTTTGATGCAAAAATGCTTTTAAGGAATCCTACAAGAAGGCAAACTAAAACAAATACTACAGCAAAACTGGGGAGTCTTGACCCCTCTTCTGAATGTCATGAACATCATTCAGTCTATCTGAACCCGAATCGTCTGAACAGTGTTCTTCTCCCTGATGTGCAGTCCTGGCTTTCCTCAGAGTCAGTAGGGAGAGTTCAGACAAAAAACATTTTTTTTAATTACCATGTATTTAATACCGCTTTTGACTTTTATGCCTATAACTACTGTAACTATTTGAATAACTGAGCATTACTACATTTCTAAAAAGCATGAAATGTATCTCTGTAATGGTTCTCCATCACACACGTCAGTGATGCGAGAAGGGGGCATGGAGAAAATTCAGATCCTAACACAGAGAGGCATCACTTTTATTTTCCTCAGGGAGATCCACTACCAAACCCTTTATCAGCCCCTGAGCTGGTTTAGCTCATATCCACTGAGGCCTCACTTGAGATCAATAGATCAACAGATGTAACAAGTGCCTTAATTTGATTTTAACTTCAATGTCAAGTTTTCTAGATTAAACACTACTGGATTTAACAATGTAATCTCCACAGAAAATAATTTTAATAAGACTAACGTCATTACATCTTGAAAGAAAAGTAAAACAAAAACAAACCAATTGAGAGAACAATCTTGTCCCAGGATATGGTTTCCTTACCTCTCCCATGACAGCAATGGGCGTCTCACCAGTTGCCTGGGCAACACGATGCTCCACTAAATAAAACATGTACTCGTCGTAGAGGAGGCGAATGAGATGAAATGAACCGAAACTAGCAGCACTCCGTAAGGTGAGGTCCCGGATCACCATGGAGCTGGAAAAGACAGTGTAAAGCTGAAGTGTGATAACTGCAACAGAAGCACATCAAACTACCTACGAGCATAACTGTGGCTCTCAGACTGGTAGAAGTAACATTGGAATTGAAAACATGGATTAACAGTAAATATGATGCATGGAATGTCATTAGAATATTAAATCATTAATTTCAGTAATGTCCAGCCAGGTTGCCTCCTATATGTGATGGACCCAAGGAACCCAAGCCCAAGAGCATATACTCATTCAAGCAATACTAGAATCCATAACATCTACTGATTCATTATTAAACATCTGGGTAACATGACAATCTGGTACCCTGCTGAAGCTGAACTAAGAAAGAAGCAAACTCAGTACTTCTAAATGCTCACATTATCTCAAATACAAAGGAAGATATTTTGTCAATATATGTATTTCCAAAAGTCCTCCTCTCATTTCTAGCCTTTCTTACGGTCAAGACTAGCAATGAAACAAGCAGGATGGGCCAAAAGAACGTTTTAAAGACAGACAGGTAAGGGCTTAGATTACTTTATCAACTGCAGTTGAGAAAGAGCAGTGACAGACAGAGGGTGTTCTGACTTTATCGGCTGTTATTGATTACCTGTAAAAGGACCACTTCAAGAGGAACTGCCGAGCAGCTTTAGGGAAACTGGGCCTCCCTTCATACGGTTTCAGCACCTGATTGACCACATTGTCCAGCCAGGCTGCCCACTGTTCCAGGGTGCTCTGCTGCTGCAGGGTCAGCTTGAAGTCTTGCTCCAGCCTCTGCACCACACTCTCTTCACACTGGCACACCCAGGAAGCCTGTTCCTGCAAGGATGAGACCAACCAATCAGTTCCCCAGTAGAAATATGTAGAGGAGCAGCCTGTTTTGCTCAGCAAAACTTTACCGGCTGGTCAGGAATGTAAATGTCCTTCTTATGGAGAGTTTTCAAGAACAACTGAGAGGTTAGGATATTTTTCCATCTAAATGCATGGTGACCAGCATGTTATATGTGTCACCCCTCATAAGCATGTTAATTTCTGTCCTAAACATTGCTCAGGAACATGTGCGCAGTGACAGGAGACGAGGGCTTGCCTGTACATTGGCGAAGTCCACGCGGTTGAGGTCACTAAGCATCTGGTTGATCTGCGAGGTGTTCTGCAGCACAGCCCGGGCAGCCTGGGCCAGGTGGTTCAGAGAAGTGTATCTCCGCAGGGTCTGGGCAAAGGCACTAACAGCAGCAACCTGTGGGCAAGATAAACTACTCTGACATGGCCTAAATCTTCATTACATTATAGCATTCTTATTAAACATATAGCTATAATACACCATCACTACATTATTGCTTTTATTATGATTATATGATGATCATTGCTTTTATCGCTATAACAAATACCTTTAGAACACAAAAGCAGTTTGCTGACGGTAGGGCTAAGATTGGTGACACAATGATATCTTCAAGCACCCAGGCGTGTCCCTAATCTGATTGGCACTGAACCTCCTGGACTTAGCTGCAAAACCCTATGATGTGGCTTGAAGGTAAGTGGGTTGGAGGAGTCTGACTGGAGCTTCTCTTCCTTCCCCATATGAAGCTGCAGGATTTGTAACCATGTGCTGAGATGTGAAAAACACTATTTTCCACAACATGCCAATCAGGTGGTATTACAAAAGTAATTGGCAAATCAGACATTAAAAAAGAATAACTGATAATCAATTGTGCATGTAATTAATTTATGACACAAAGGGGTGTTTATCACCAGGTTAGTGTTTCCTTCTTGATCTTTGCAGAAAGTGTAACAATGCTGATGTGGAGAAAGAGGCAATGTTCATTCCATATCATTCTGCCCCAGCAGCACTTTGTCAAACTCCATCACTGAAGGGCTACATTTTCTACCCCAGGAGCAATAGGTCTGGTAATAGATGCCTACGTTACAACAAGATTACATCCAGCCATGGCTTTAGGAAAAGCTCTCAATCAGTACATGAATAAGATAGCCTCTTACTCGCTGTCCACCTCTTACATAGCACAGCCCATTTCATAGATTTATATCCCTATTCTGAGATATATATTAACACCCGAAATATTCAATGTCAAATGTAGCCCCAGTCCTTGGCGTTGACCATCTTACTCTCTTGGTTATTAGTAGCTGACAGACTCACAACCATTTCTTGAAAGACCCTTGAAAGCTATGGCTGGATAGCTTTTTATTCCAAGTACCAATGGCTTAATGTAGTCTGCTTTTCATTCATTGTGAACACTACATTACTTACCTAAATGTATAAATTACCGAATCACTAGCTTAATTAGACCTTTTTAATTTAATACATTTTCTATATTCAAGCTCAAGACTTGAGGTAACTTGATGATACCAGAAATTTCACAGCTGAACTAAAAAAAAAACAGCTTTAACGGTATATAGCAACTTCTTATGAAAATGATGTTATGTTCTGTGACATGTCTGTTGAGAAGCTAGTCTTACAGGCAGAGGGCATCTCTAACGCTCTTCATGTTCAGTGAGTTTTCACCAACATCAGTTCAATGAGATATACATTATGCTCCAAACATAGCGGGACATGACAAGTCTAAAGTGGGATTTTCACTATAGTAATAATCTAATCTAATAATAATCTTTTCTCATGAAAACAGAACACAACTCTTAGGTACAAAGTATTTAAAATAAAAAAAGATAATTAATTTCTACCCTCTTGGGCCAACTTACCAGGTAGAAAGTTTTATACTTCTTTTAAGAAGCAAAAGTATTTGGAGCATTAGCTGGCAGATGTCTTTTGATGGTCAGGTATTTGTTGTTGGGTAACTAGGCGCATAAAAAAAGCTGTGGATATCATATAGACCTATCTCACTTCAGTGCTTGGAGTCTGTTGTCAAATGACAAAGTGAGAACCAGCAAAATGTTTCTGGGTTATTCCAGGTCTTGCAAACTCTCTGAATGAAACCCGTTACCTTGGTTTGAATCATTTTCTGTGGAATATTGTTCATGGCATTGGTTAGCCAGCCTTCAAGGCTTTTTGCAAAATTGCGGATGGCTTGGGTCAAGGCACCTAAAAGAAACAAAATGGAGGAAAATTAACACAGGTAGATAAAGAGATACTAACTAATATTTCAGGTGGGTAGCTGCGTCGGCATGCGTAGGCTGCAAAGGAACAAGTCATAGGTTTATTCCGTGCTGAAAAAAAAGAAGAAAGAAAACACAACGTTTTGGCCGTGGAGCCTTCTTCAGCACACCTGCACACCTGAAGAAGGCTCCACGGCTGAAACGTTGTGTTTTCTTTCTTTTTTTTCAGCATGGAATAAACCTCTTACTTGTTCCTTAACTAATAATTGACTACAGATTTTGAGTACATGTATTCTAGGACAACTTTCTATGGAGATATATAATTATTTTATATTCCAGATGTAGTCATACAACTATTCTAACTATTCTATTCTAAAGGGTACAATTACAATGACTGGCTGTGCCTATTAACTCACAAATCAAACTCAATGTCTCTTCTATAACTTAGTATGATAGTTTGCTTCTTCTCACAGAACCCTTTGTGAAAAGAGGTTTCCACTATCAGAGCTCTACACAGCATAGAAGAAGGTTTTAATTTGCCTGTTTTATGAACAATGAGTATGAATGTATCGGTGGATACAACCACTTTAAATTTGACAATTTCATTTATAATATTGTCTTTCAGTACAGAATTGGCCCAAAGGTAAGTTTTCTTATCTTGTTCTTATGCAGACTGTGAACTTGAATAGCGGATGCAACATTGTCTTACTAGGAATAGGTCTAAGTACATCAGGGATGAGGATCTCCACCAGGGCCTGGTACATCACATGGTCGCAGTTACACATCCACTTCAGGACTGTCTCATTTTTGCACAGCAGGATCAGTTTTGATTTGGGCAGCCTGCCTTCAATTTCACTGACATTGCTAAGAGGAAAAAAATAAACATTACAGATGTTTTTAAAAATATCACAAAGGCCATAACTGACATGTGAGAAGACATGAGAAGACATACGCTGTTCTAGTATAGCAGTGATACTTGCTCTGGGTCCTGTAACCACAGTGTCTTTTGGTTGTCTTTCAGCTGCATCACATAAATGAACCAACTGCTCACGTATTTTATCTCAATTCCAAATTTGTCCAGGCCTTTAACGATGGAAGAGTTCCCTAAAACCTGCATGGCAGTGGCTTTCAAAAACAATAATTCTGTTCCTGACTTATGATTTATGATTTTAGTTGTATGTTGAGCTTCTTGCTAGCAGATGAAAGCACTGCATCAATATTGCAGGCTGGATTCAATATAGGATAGAAGGGCCTTGCGCTGGCTAATACAACACATTTATTTAAAACAATATTGGACATTTACATATCTCCTATTTGTATATTAAGAAAAACTGTTTAACAATATAAGGAATGTATAAGTAACTTGTATTTCCAGAAAAAAATATATTAACTGAAAGAATAAAGGGATCTGACTCATTATAACAGTGGAGAGCCCTGATATTAAACTTTCATACGAGGTTTGGTATCTTGAGACAGTGGCCTATGTTCAGCCATAACTTTTACTAATTAAGAAAGTGAACTACGAGAGCGGGGTTGGTAAGAGAGTCGGAAGACCCTATAATTCTAGATACTTGAGTATTATAGCATTTAGGTTTTGCTCGGGTACGGTACTGTACAGACCTGTTCTCAGTGATGGTGGATCCCTCTAGTGTGACAGAAGGGGAGTAACGCCAGAAGGTTTGCCAGAGCTTCTCAATGAGGCTGAACTGAAGATTGACCACCACATCCAGAATAGCCTGGTAACCACAAAGAAAGACAGTGCGGCCTCCTACTTAAACACTGTAAGACTTCCCAATCCAGGTTCTCTGGATCGCACTAGTCTAGATTCCATTGTAACTGAGCTCTTAATTACATAAACAAACTCTTTATTGTGCACATAATTAGCATTAACAGACTTATGTTTTCAGCTCCTAAAGAACGCAGTTCTGAGTTACTTTCAGTTCCTGACATTAGGTCATGATTATAAGTGAGAATCTGTTCTCAATTGACTTACGTGGTAAAATAATGTAAAAGTCTTGCTTCTAAAATATAACCTGAAATTGTCTATTGTCAAAGGACACAAAAACAATAAAGAAAGCAAATAAGTAGTTTGATTAAAGACTTGATGAAATAGTTCAGAGCACTGATAGAATAGGAAGACAGGGGGTCCTGAGCAGTAGAAATGGGAAGTGCTGACTGACAGTACAATTCTGTGTTTGTGGTGAAACACGTGGACTTACCTCGCAGTGCTCTCTGTACAGGGTCTGCAGGGTCTTGATATCCTCAGGAGTAATGATGTCCATAATAGTATCGCCAAGGTCAAGCTCCACGAAATCTGGGAGTGCTCGAGAGGCATCTGTGTTCCGGAAAAAATGCAACTGTTTAATAAAACAGAGGACTGTGGCCTTGACCATTCAAGCACAAAGATGATTTTATACTATAATACATTTTAAATACAACAGGTGGGATTATGACAGCTGAAGGGAATGGTGCTCTGGCAGCAGATAAAAGGAATCTGTAACTCAGAGAGGTGGCTTGAGTTTCCCATGGTATTGCACATTACTTTGAATTCTTGCTCAATTTGCTAGGAGAAAAGTGTCTTAACATTTGGAGAAACAGAATGATCATTTTCTCAAAAATTGGAGTGTTGGTGCTGGAGTATTTATTTTAGGGCTTAAATGAGACCATGTAAAAAATAAGGTCACAGAGTGTAGGCGAACCCAGTATACTGTACTTTTTCACAAAACACTTGCATTTTTCTTTGCCTGGGCTAAGCAAGTTTTAAACAAACAAGTTTTTAACTAGTAGTTCAGGTGGGTAGCGTCAGCATGTGTAGTCTGCAAAGGAACAAGTAATAGGTTATTCCACGCTGAAAAGAGAAGAGAGAAAACACACTTCTTCAGGTGTGAGAAAGACAGGGCAGACAGCAAAGATTAAATAGCACAGATGAACAAAAACGAGGAGGCAGGAGGGGCAGAGAGGCCACTCAGGAATTGCAAAGTGGAGAAGGGTGGAGAAAGGTGTGAAGTCAAAACCTGCATGAGAATAGAGAAGAGTAGAAGAAAATAAGTCTGTCACTGAGAAAAGGGGGGTAAAGTTTCTGCTTGAATCAGATATCAGCACTGTTAAGACATCTACAAGATATGTTTGACAGAAACCCTGTTCTGGGGTTTTGAGCAGATGTCAGTCACACATTTTGAGTCACGCAGCTGAAAAAAAAACTAAAAAAGATGCAGCAGACTCAAAATAAAAAAAAGTAAGAAAAGTTATGTGCAAAAGAAGGAAAACACAGAAGGAACAATACGCTGGACTGAAGGATAAGTACATATTAAAAGACATCATTGCACTGTCCTGTCACAACACATGCTCTCCTAACTGAGCGTCCTGCGTAGCATCACTGATCTTACCCAGAAACTGCTGGTGGTGCTGGCTCTGGGCTATGACAGTCTGCTCTGCTGCTGTTGGCGTGTGCTGTCCACTGCCTGCAAAGTTGTCCCCCATCCCGTCCACTTTCTGCACAGGCTTGTACCTGGCAAACAATAGCCACAACAATAACTACAATAAAGCTGTAGCAATTTGCTTCAGAAAGCATAAAGAGACTGAGTCTGAGAAGAAGACATTAAAATTCTCTTCACATGGAGAGACATGACACTTTGCCACAGAGTAAGATTCTCAAAGGCACTCGACAATCTCTCAAAGATTTCTTTCATGATATTTTAGCTGTCTGACCATTAGGCCATTAGCCCGTACAACCAACTGATTTGCTAACCATCCCATTGTCTCTAATTTACTGAAACACTTCAAACACAAGGGCTTGTGCAGTCCTAACAACAGCTTCTACTGACTCTTTCTGTAGAACATAATCTGCATAGGTTTAAGCACACCACAGTCAATGGTGAAACAAACATCAATTTTTTAAGAGTTTTTTCCAGGGTATTTGACTTTTTCCTCTAGGGATAGAAAATCTGCCTAATCTCATGGCTGTGCTCTGTGATATTGTGCCCCTGATGTCTGCCCAATGTGACTCTATACACATAACTCTGTGGTCCTTGGAAAGGTTGTTCTGTTCTGTGTGGCATCTCCTTGCAGTGTGCCACTGTGTGCTGTGATGGTGTACATATGGATGTTGTGTGATAGGGTGAGCTGCAGTGCTGTGCAGTTGGGTGGGAGTATAAGACGATTCTGTAGAGTTCTGTGTGCGTGGTGGTACAAAGTGGTTCTGTGTGGCACTGTGCAGCCTGCAGGCCTCACCTCTGTTTCTGCTGCACGGGCTGCTGCCTCAGGGCCATGTACTGCATGTCTTCTTGCAGTCGGTTCAGAGGGGAGTCTGGCTTCACACGAATCCCATAGTAGTGGTACTTGGAGTTGCCCCTGTTATCAGAGGATGTTGCAAAGGGACACCCTGTCAACTGGTTTTCTTATTATGATCATATACCTGTCCAGAAAGCTGGTGCCATCTTCCAAGACCATTTACACAAACAACGACCCTACAGTTTACATTGTAGAATATTATAAACACATGAATGTGTGAACAGTACAGTTACAAGACAAAACTACAACTTCAGTGTTGGTTAAAACAAAGTTTTAAAGTGAAGCAAAACAAGTGCAACATACATGATAGAGAAGTAGCTACAGGATTATAATAATAGAACACGTAGCAGGACTTTAATGTGTCTGAGCATTAACATAATGAACTTAGCTTTGCTATCTGTCTTTGGTTTTACTTCTCTGCAGTTTGCAATGAGAAAAAGGTGTTATTGTCAGTTCATATCCATGTTTAGCCACTGTGGCAGGCACAGCCAATTTGGACTTAAACAGAAACAGTCCAACTTAAACAGTGTGCTTTAGACCAACCTGGTACCAAGTCTCCTGGTCCTCAGCCCCATAAAGATGGAGCGAATGAGTTTGCCAAAGGAGGCAGCATTGACAGGGTCCAGCTTCTGCTCCTGGCAGTGCCGCAGGTAGTGGTTGTACAGGGTGCTGCGCGGAAGGCTTACCCCCTCCGCTGTCTCGTAATTGTCTAGCAGCCACTGGAGCTATGAAACAAAAGCAGGACTCAGCACTGACACTGTCCCGCCCTCTCTGTCAGGCCTGCTTCACAATACAGAAAACCAACAATTTCCGATCTCAGAATCTTCAGCGTTCAAGGATAAATGTGATATCTTTTAATTGTTGGCTATTATTCTGCTTTCAAAAAAATCTTATAGTTGAGTTCAAAATTATTTTTCCCACTCAATTTAAATAAGGCCCCATCATCACATCAGAGAATATAATAACATCAATAGATGATCTTTGCACTAAGCTCAAATTGCCTCTACATATAATTAGAATAAAAGAAAACAGAAAACAGCAAGATAAAGTTGTTTCTGAATTATATAGGATTTTATACATATAAATTATAACAATTATAAATGCAATGTGTATAGACACTGCTCGTATAGGACTACAAGTGGAAGATATGTCATTATATCTACAGTTCTGTTATATTTTCTGCTGTGAAGATGGGTTCTTGTCTGCTCAAACATCATAGCTGTCTTCTAGAATTTCATCAGCCACTGCAAAATTCAACATTCAAGTTAATAACATACACAAATAATTTTTTACAGTAACATTTTACAGCCTCTTGCAGTTGAATTAGTTAATCAAAACTAAGTTTTCACAATATTATTACCCACCAATGAATTTTCCATGGCTTGCACAGAACTCTCCACTCATTAGGAGTGGAGATGGGTCTCTTTAACTATGCTACCAATACAGGCTAGTGACAATAATGGATGTCTATCAACTTGACTTTAAATAAGCCGTCCTTCAGGTGAGATTTTAAATCGAGGTCTTGACTATTTGGAGTCAGTAAGAGAACTGTTTGTAACAGTAGGGATGCTGACTTCCGCTTCTGTCCAGACTTCCACAACGGGCTTGTTCACTTCAGACTGGCTGACCTGATCTGTTTGCATATAAAAGACTACCACATGACACACAGGTTAATGATGAACTTCCAACAGATGAAGGAAGCAGAGAACTGCCTCAAACAAATTACTGTGTAACTTGATGTCTCCATTGTGGATGGGACCAGATATATAATAATACTTTATTGAAATGTTTTTTTTTTAATTTTATTTGAGTTCTGTTGGTTTAGAAGCAAACCCAATAGCAAAGGTCACAATTTCAGTGTTTTGATGCAGAGAGAATGTGTAAACAATCAAAAGCTGCATCACCTGTTGAACATAATTTTCATTCTGCAAAGTGTACACTAATGTTCAATTTTAACATTATGAAGCAAAGAACATTCCTAACTCAGTGCTGCTTGATTAACTCAATGGCTTGATCCTGTATTCTGCACATCTGTTTCAGCTACATGTGGTCGGACTAAAAGTAATCAGCAGAATTACTAAGCACAGATCTGAAAAAGAAAAGTCACTGAGATCTCATTCATACTGTGTCATATACCATTTATGGGGAGGTCACTTTTTATATGAGACTGAGGGCACCAAGACTAGTATAGCCAGAGAAAACAAATGTTCACAACATTAAAAACATAACTGTTGTCTCAAATATTAAAAAATAATGATTCACATACTTTAGGTATAAAGTTATTTAAGAGCCCTTTCTTCTGTATAAACAATTGGGCAGTTCCTTAATCCATGCATTTGCATGTTGCTGTAGAGTCATAAATGTATTTTCTCCAAGAATGTGCCAGTGAACATTAGTGCTTATCTGATACACTGATGGTCTTCTTATTTTTTTAATGATTCTGAAAAGAGAGACTTTTTGATTTAATGTGAAGCTATTCAAAACACATTTTTTGAAACAAATCAAATAAAAGGATTTTTTACTTTGAAAGGGTTTATGAATTGTCATGGAATTCACCTATTTCCTTTGGAACAAAATCCAAGTTCCTTTCACACCTAGAATGACAATTTACCACTCTTTCCCTATGTCCTCAATTCAGTTTGAACTGAATCTGTTAATGGGTCTAATGTCTTGACGTCTGATTATTAATATAATTAGTACACAGGACATTAGTAGTACATATGCATAATTAGTACACAGGATTAGCATACAGGACAGAACCTCCCAGTCTAACTCGTAAGCTCAGTGACGTCTGGACTCAATCCCACTGTCTAAACAAAACACATTTTCCCCACTTGCTTCTGCTCTAATACATGTGTGAATTTCAAGACACTTACAATAATTTATTTCTAATTTAAAATCTCAAACATTTGCAGAGTGAACAGCAATTAAACCAGTCTGCTTCAACGTGTTATCAGTTTAGTTGAGTGAGAGCTGAGCAAGATTGGAAAGTACTGTTAAAAAAGCCTTTCCCCTGGATTTAAATAAAAGCATGGGTCATATTTCCTCTTCTACTGACTATCTTCTTAGTCCAAAGAAGGTGCAAAAAGGCAATCCAAAATGGCACATCAGATTTCACAAAGGAAAAGCAGAAGATGTTCAGGCTAGCAGAGCAAAGCATTTCTAGCAGCAGCATGGAAAAACGCAATTGCAGACTTCAACTGGTAAGAGCAACTTACATGGCTGTTGAGCAGAGAGCTTCTTTGAGTGGATAAGCCTTCAGACTTTTGGAGAGTCTCAATCGCCATTTCAATCTGACATATTGCAGAAACAAAAATAAAAAAAGAAGAAAAAACAAGCTGAAGACAAAGTAGCAACAAAAGAACGACACAGAAATCAGAGAGATTTTTAAAAAGATTGACAGAAATACTAAACGAGCACTGCTGACAAAGCAACCGCCCCCAACAAATTATATGCAGACTAGCAGAGCAGACTGTTCACCTGAAGAGAAAGCAGGGAGAATCAAACGGGAGGCAAAATGCTGGAAGATTTACTGATTACTTAGTCTCACATTTGTCATTGCTTTGAGTGAAAAAGCGTTAGTAAAAACTTAATGATTGACTTCAAATAAATTGTGAATTACAGCAGCCTCGGGACAGCATCACGTGACATTGACCTTCAGCTGGCAATAATGAAGTGAAATTACTGGGTTTTGTGTGTTGAATGTAACTCCTATTTCAATGTCTTGAACATGCCAATTTTACCTGAACCTAAACACCCTCCACTTGATGCAATAATTATCTGCAGATTAAGCAGACTGTTGAGTTTTGAATATCGACCTAGATCTCAGGCTAAGAGAGATGCCACATTCTGTGCCCTGTGGCCGGAAATAGAAGTTAAACACACAAGACCCCCTGACAGGCAGGCAAAATCATCACAGTTAAGCGCGGAAGTCTTCCATATACAGCTCATATATTCATTTAGGAAGTTGGCTGATGGCTTTATCCAAGGTGATTTAAATGCAAGACAATCAATGAACTGGAGCAAAAATCAACACTGCTAAAATGAAATGCAGAGTCTAAAACACAAAAATTATCTAATGTAATACTTGCCCATACTACAAATAATCAAGGTACTACGTACATTTCAGTACAGGATGTAAACAGTAAAACTACCTCACTGATAAGTATAAATGTATCTAAAATTTGTGCACAAAAAATCTAAATAAATGTATATAAAGACTGTGCAAAAAATGTAGGGGATAAACTTTATAAGATTCAGGCTGTGCACAAGAGTAACTGAATTGAATTTCTGTTGAAGCAGCCCTATCTAACCAGCAGAGGGCAGTGCAGGTTCACTGCTCTTTCACTCAACTTCAACCCACCACAGATGAATAAATCACAAGTTTCTTTTCAACAAATTGCAGGAACCCACTTGTGTCCTCATACACTCCTCATAGAACATGTTTTCTCATATAGCTGCAAGTGTGGACTGGATGTCTGATTTCAGTCAAATACTAAGACATCTCTAATCAATCATAAGATATAACTGATCCTAAATAAGTATCATTCAGTTCAGCGTGTAAACATCAAAATAACTGCATTTATAAGAAAAAAAAACCACTAAAGCAAAGCAATAACATCATAAAAATGATTAACTAAACTAACAAAAAGCTGAATGATACTTAAGCCAGAAATTGAAATGCCAGTGTTCCAGTGAGTCACATTTTTTTAACAAAAATTATGTTAAAAAATAAACAGTAAAAATGTTTATCTATTAAATGCCTGTGTTTATTTCACTATCTGTTGTAACTAATCCTAAAAAATGGCATTGCTCTTTATTGAGGAATGTTAGAAAATATTGCTGGCAAAAACTAGACAAGCAATTTTAAAAGGTTCATGGTGCTGGGCATGACTGCGGTGGCACTCTGGTGATATCCATCTTCTGTCTAACTGTCACCCCTGGGAAATGCCCCAGTGCCAGCAGTGCCCTACAAAGTGCCTGATGAGCAAAATCACACAGTGAAGTCAGCCCGATGTGAGCTGTTTTTGGATTGGCTTAAATAAAAAAAACACCCAAATAAATACAAGTAAGGCAGCAAAGCAGTGAGATACAGAGGAAACTGATACAAAAAAACATCTGAGAACATGCTTAAAAACAAAAACATCTGCAGGGTTACGTGTGCAGTTTCAGAGTTGGTGGCCTTTGGTAAATTTACATACCACAGGGATTTCTGCCTGGGCGTGAATATTATTACTAGCAAATACTCGGTGCTGTGACTTAATAACACTGTTCATAGCTTTATGTATGATATGCAATTGATGTAAATTTTATGAAAGCCGCATGAATTAAAATAGAAACAGGCAATAGGGATGACCTGTTTGAAGCATTACTTGCAATTAAACAGCGGGCTTCCAGACTTAATGGACGAGCATACACAGAAATACAGTGAGGCAAATATGAACTCATTTTCATTTTCTATGCAATCAAAAATGTAATGAGATCCCATTTAGAGCAATTTTGTGCCCCCAACACCTACCTCACGTCATAGTTTTGCATCCACATTATGTATGACTGAAGGAATTTTTAATTGTAACTAAACAAAAGCTAATTGTCAGAACACGGCACTGAGTGTCATACTGTACAGGATGGCAAAGTAAGTCTTTTTGTTTTATTCTTAGTATTTAGGTTTATAAAGCATACGTGGTTAGCAACGTGTAATATCGGTAATATATAAAAGTACTATAAAGCCATATAAAAATGGAAGGACCTATTATTTTCTACCCTAGGAGCTTGTCACCCTACGCAAAGTCTGCACTACAGTTACTGAATTACAGATACAAATGACGCAGTAAACATCATTCAGTTCTTCTGTTTTCAAATGGCAAATGTTACAGCAATAACTTTACCTATTTTGGATACTGTAGGTTACATTCTCATTACTGCCCTAAGTGTCCTGTGATAGGGTTGTGAAGACCTTAGTTCTTTCTTTTAAGATGAACAGTTCCCTTGTCATTAATGAGGATCATTACTTAATCAGATCTCTCTCCTCATTACTGGCGGTGGTCACTAGTTGCCACATCCACTCTTGTATCACACTATGAATAGTTGCAAGAGTAAGATCATACTTTGGCACTGAAACCTCTTGCGGCTTCATTACAATTGTAAAACATCCACATACAGTAGGAAACTTTACAAAACTCCAGAGAAAACATATTTAAACAACATAATTCCGTCATAATACAAATAAGCATTTTTTTCCTAACAGAAAATCAGTCAAGCTGACAAACCCCTTTATATTTACTTTTGATTTAATGTTTTGCTTGACTGAGATTATTTTATAATTCAGTTTCACAGATGGCAAATTAAAACTGTTCTAAGAAAAGCAATGCACAGCAGTTCAGTTAATTAACAAACTAGCTAGAAAAAAGTGTCAATTAGAAAAATGTGCTCCATTTAGATAAAAAAAAAATCACAGTGTTTTTATAGGTGACTTAGAAGTAGGAGGAGACTAATTATTAAATTCAAGAAGGGAGTTTATATTGCAAGTGTAAAATGTGTGGCAATGCAGAGATTCTGAAAGATGAATCACATCGGTCAACACAAACACAAGCTGACAATGTTTGCACAATCCATTTTAAAACAGGGAGCACAAAATTTTGCATTTTTTATCATCTGAAGGTCAAAGCAAAATGAAAACTGTAAAGAGGTCGTAATTCCACAGGCTGTTCCTCTTTCTTGTTTCTCCTTCAGAAGTGCTAGGACAGATGGGCTAAATAAGCAGGGGTTTATTTTGCGACATTTATTATGTTCAGTGCTAAATATACACAAAATAAAAGGGCTGACCTGAGGTATAAAAAGTCCTAAGAAAAGAGCAGGAACTGTTCACAGCACTTGTGCAGTGCAGTGCAGTGCAGTGCAGTGCAGTGCAGTGCAGTGCAGTGCAGTTGCCATTTGCCTTGTTTTTAGATGAAATCAACCATTCTTCCCTGTGTGCCTATTATTGACACAGGATGGAATGGGGGATTCCCAGGAAGTGGTTTTAAATGGGATTATTTTGGAAAGTTTAGTTGAGGATAGTAGTATGGCATTGTGGTTAGCACTGCTCTCAGCTGTTGCATCCTGGGATTGATTCTAGCTTGGAATGGCTTCTGTTCAAAGTTTGTATTGCCATGTGACTTTTCTCTGGGTGCTCTCATTTCATCCCACAGTCCAAAGACACACTATCTATGTTAATTAAATCTCTAAACTGTTTCCTGTGTGAGTGTCCTGTAATGGACTGGCATCCCCTTCACGGTGCATTCTGCCTTGTGCCCATCGTCGGCTGGGTTAGGTTCCAACTCACTGCAAGCTTGTATTGAACTGAAAGGTGATTGAAAATGGGTAGAACAGCCCTTCTGACCAGGATTCAATACAAAAAATATGCACTCACTAAAAGTGATTGTTACATTTTCTTTTCTAAATGTGAGCACCTTATTAACTGTCCATTAATGGAAATGCTATATTTCACCCTAATACAGTTTCACAATATAAGCAGAGAAATTAGGATGTCAACATCTGACATGGCATATCATAAAGTAACATAGTAACACTTTATAGACATTACTAAAGCTGTCCAAAAGCACTAGCAGATACATACAATCACCGAAATTATTTTGAAGATAGTCTTTTCTTTGTTTAAAATGTAAGATCTGAATTATTAATCACTAAAAAGCATTGCATAAAATAAACAGGTATTTTATGTGTGATTAAAAAAGTATCAGTTTTCCAGCTGTTTTTCACACTTCAGTGTTGACTGCAATCCTAAAGGCTGTAGTGCAGGCAGCGCACCTGCAGTGCAGAGGGCACACCTGCAGTAATCCTGTAACCTGCGGTGCAGACTGCGTACTTAAAGCAGTTCCGAAACCTGCAGTGTAGACAGAACACTTACAGCAATCCTGAAACCTGCAGTGCAGACAGTGCAGCTGCAACAGTCCTGAAACCTGCAGTGCAGACAGAACACCTGCAGCAATCCTGCAGTGCAGACAGAACACCTGCAGCAATCTTGCAGTGCAGACCGTGCATTCACAGAAATCCTGAAACCTGCAGTGCAGACAGAACACCTGCAGCAATCCTGCTTTGCAGACTGTGCATTTACAGAAATCCTGAAACCTGTAGTGCAGACAGAGCACTTACAGCAATCCTGAGATCTGCAGTGCAGACAGCACACTTACAGCAGTCTTGAAACCTGCAGTACAGACAGCACACTTACAGCAATCATGAGACCTGCAGTGCAGACAGCGCACTTACAGCAGTCTTGAAACCTGCAGTCCAGACAACACACTTACTCACAGAAATCCTGAAACCTGCAGTCAATGCACTTACAGAAATCCTATAACTGGCAGTGCAGAACTTGACTGTGTAACTACAGAAGTCCTGAAATCTGAAGTGTTAAGAGCGTACTTACGGTGGCAGGAGAGGCCCGGGTAGTCTGGGTGGTGGGGTGGGCAGAGTTCTCCATGGAATTGCCGATGAGGTAGGCCCCAGAGCTGCTGATGATCTGCCCCCCTGCAATGCCCATGGGGATGCCCCCTGCCCCCATGCTGTGAGAGGACACCACTGTTGTCACCTGAGATGAACTTCCCTGGGTGTCAAAGTAGTTCCCCCCAGTGTTCTGGCTGTACATCTGTGCCTCTGAATACGAGTACGTTCGACTGTCAGTGGAAAAGAAAGAATGAAATAAACACGTAGTTTTAGCTTGTTGAAGCCATTTCATGGCACAGAACAGGCTACTGGAGAAATCGTATTAAAGTGGACCAAATTGGCCTCCTCTCGATGGTAATCATTCTTACATTCCTGACAATAAAAAGTTGCTTAGTGTCAGAAATGGCACACCTTACAGTAAAAGTTAACATTTACAAAGGACTTCTTCATTTTTAGTTTTGCTCATGCTCAAGTGTTCAGACTCATGATTTTTTACAGTATCTCATTAATTTAAGATTATGTATCTTAATGTATCATTATCTTTTATCGCTGTTTTCTCCTTATTCAGACCATCTTTAAAACTGAAGAATTAAAAAATAAAAAATGTTGCAATAGACTAAAACATCTAACAGCTGCAGGGATTCACTACAAAATCCATTTTTAACCACAAGCAAATAGGAAGTGGGAGTCTAAATAATATACTTACCAAGTGGTCCTTAAAATGTTAAGTTTTTGTGTTTTAGCAAAGGCTGGCTTACAGCTCCGTTTTGTAGCTTTCTAAATACTGTCTACATGTTAAAAAATGATAGGCAAGTAACAATCACCTTCAATGATGTCTTTAAACTATGGCTTGTTATCCTTCATTTTTCAGATTCTTCAATGTGATCCACAAAATACACTGAACACAAAACTGGGTAATTTTGCAATTTTCTCCACTCACTGGCTGCCCTGTGATACAAAGACTGTCGCCAATTGTGCTGGAATAAATTAATTGTGTTGCAGAAAAGGGCTGACAAATTGCAGTTACAAACTAAAGCTGAGATTTTTTTAAAAGATTTGCGAACTTGTTGTAAAACAAGAACAGCTTCAGGAGGGGTTCAGTGAAAGAACAGAACATGTTTTTTCAGGACCCTTCTCAGCACCAGGCACCTGGCCTCAGTTTGCTTTCACAGTTAAGTACCAGAAGACAATAGTGGAGCCTAATGAATGAAGCTGGACAGCAGAGGCCTCCTGGAGGAGCCATTCCAATGGCATTGTACCCCCTGGGCCTGAATCTGAGATGGTGTTCTAATAACACACCCATTAGCGTTTTCCATTGACAAGCTATAATGTACAAACTCATCATTTCTAGAGTAGGTTAATATTAAAATGTTTGTTAAAGCTAGCTTGCCCTTCTAATTTTTTACAGCAAAAAAAAAAAAGAAAAACTATGGCTGGTAGTAGTACGTAGCTGTACAATCATTTCTGATTTACATCATTTAAGCCCTTGACATCAGAAGACACCACAATCCCTCTGCGTGCCACTGGCAAGTTTTTAAGCACCACCTCCTGCCTCTCAACATAATGATTGCAGGTGAGCAGGGGCTCAGGTCCTTGTTCCCCCCAAGGAATCACCCGAGACAGCACCAATTTACTTTCAGGAAAGGATCACATCACGCACAGAGAAGAAAGAAAAATACACACGGCTTATTTCATCAGCCAGTTTTAGGAGCTTTTTAACTCTTAAATGAAATAATACAAAACGGAGTTGGTATACTCTCACCTTACACTTTTAGAAGTAAAACACTAGCCAGGGAGGTGTGGAAAGGAGCAATAGAAAGGCAGGGTTTGTTGCTGTTTTTCTTTTCAGTTAAATACAGTTTTGGTAAATACAGGGGGAGATTCTCTGAAAACCAACTTTTCAAACGTTATCTGAAATCAGACAAACAGCTGTTTAACTCACATGGTCCCGTTAGTGTAAACAGCGTTGTTCTCCTCCACATATTGTACCTGTGCTGGGTAGACGTGCTGTACCTGCTGCACTGCCTGCACCTGAAACAGCAAGGAGAGCCGCCAGCCATTACAGCCCTGTTTCTGGTGACGCCCTCAGCACACCACTACCGTAGCTTGAAAAGAAAAGCTGCTCTTCTTTACTTGAAGAATCTTGTGAAAATAGTGCATTTTAAGAACCTTCTTCCCCTGACGCATAATTCTTGTTGGTGGGTAAATGTGACCTGCTCATCCAAAACCAGACCTTTTGGAGTTAATTCTTGAAGAATTACCAGGCAGTCTCAAAAACATGACCTTTGAGGGAGGCAGAAGTATTGTCAGGAGACGATCGTATACAATCTGCATAACAGGAAGTACATGTTTTCAGACTCCAAAAGTTCAAGAATTAAACCTGGAAAAAAAAATGCATCAAACAGAAATGTAAAAAGCAACCAGCACGACAAGGCACTATCAATAACAGTAACAGGAATAACAGGAAAGCTGAGTAACATTCAAAAGACAGGATTTAATTCTAATAAAACAAACACATGTGGAAAATAACATCTGAAAGACCCAGTTAATAAACTGAGATTTAAGATGAAATGTAAAAGCCGCCGCACACTCGGGTAAAAGAGGCAGCATTCTCCACAGGCAGCCTGGGAACATAAGTAAAAATCAACTGCAGACTGAAACTTCAGTTTTCATAACAATAGCTTTAAACCTGTACGAACGCAATGTCATTTTTAATGTGTTTTCTATTAATGCTTCAATGATTTAAAGAAAGCCTGCTGTATTGTTGACATCAAGAACTAGAGTGAGAGTCACCTGACACACTGTAGGATACAGCTCTGCAATCCTCTAGTTGCATATTTGAGCTGAAAAGCCAAAAGAAAGCTGGGTTTTCTCATTTTCTCTTTTATTCAACATTAGTCTCTGTAGGCTGATTCACGTTAGCTAAGAGCTTGTAATGGATGAAGGGAACAGGAAACAGAGGGTCGGATTAAAAGAATCATACTTGAAAAAAAAACTGCAGTCAATTTGTACGCATCATGGCTGTTCTCCAAACAAGTATATAAGCAAAATGTAGTGATTAAAACAATGAAAGGAACAGGGGCATATACCTGGGCAAGAGAAAAAGTGTTTCTCTTACCTTATTCTCTTACCTTTGCTTTTTTTATATATAATTACTATAATTTTGTGTCATGTTCTGCATAAAAGCATAATTGGCTATTGGAGATTTGTATGGGCCAGAAACATAACTGGTATTTGTGCTTGGTTCATTGTATTTACTGGTCATATTGGCTGATAACATAAATAGATGAAAAAGATGTACAAATGGAGGTGCCAGTCAGTTCTTGCTCCAAACCCTGCTAGTAGCCTATCGATCCCAGACAGGGACGAAAATACCGTGTCACGGGAAGCAATGTGTACTGCTGGGGCCGGTGTGTGTACAAGGGTTCAGTACGAAGTTCTTAGAGAGTATATGGGCCAGGAAAGCAGAGTGTGGAGACCCTGGCACAATATCTTGGACATCAGTTGTGGTGTATTATATTTCTGAGAGCTCACACGGTTTTTGTTTTTTTAATTCTTAATCTTCTTTACCTGCGGCAGTTCATTCTTTGCCTCTGTGCAAACGAGGGCTAAATTCTCCTACCTGCTGCTGCACGGGGACCTGCTGCACCACTTGTGTTGGTACCGCTGGCTGCGCAGCCACTGTGGTCTGAAGGGTGACTGTGGACGCTGTGTCAGAGCCAGCCTCCGATGTCTGCATGGTGCCTATCAGGGGACAGCAAGCAAGAGCCACTCTCAGTGCTGCAAACTGCGCTTCCATCATATGACAAAAAATGCAGAAGTATCCCTCTTCCCATATGCTCACCACTTAATTTGGCAACGGTAAAAGAAAATGAATCACTGTATTTTTTTTTTTTTACGCAGCAGATTAGAGGAATTTAGTAAACATTCTGTCCAAATGAGTAAAAAAGGTCTGGTTCTTCAGCAATTTAATTTGTCAGAACACTCTTTTATTTGCCAAGAATGGAAAATCCATTGCTGCAATAAAAACGAAAAAGCATTAAAAGCCAAGGCTCTTTATAAAAAAGCTACATTATAAATTAGAACTGTTCTTGCCCTTTCAGTTTAACTTGTTTGCATTGTTATCACAAAGATAGAAAACCATCACAGCAGCATAGAATAATTCTATATTAAGACTGATCAGAGTGAGATGAAAGGACTGTGTTTACCTTTTCAGCTAGACTTCAACTCTCCATTTACTTGTCTCATTGCTAGCTATTAATTTAATTCAAAATACTGTATTTTTCAATATAAAAGATTTTGCATTTAAAGCTATACTCCATTCAAGGCATAATATTTTCAAATATGTTGAGGCCTGAAATTGTAAAAACAATTGTAAAAATTCAACAAAAACTTGAAATCCCCGAGACAGAAAAATCCAAGTTGTATATTATCAGTATACTTTTTGTAATTCCCCAAGCTCCGCCTAATATAAACCATCTTTATATCGGATCATTTTAATGAAGCAGTCAGTAAGCAATTTTCTATTTTTCAAAATGAATTAACATGAAAATGACCTACAGCAATAACAAATAAAAATCAAGTGACATTTACACTGTCCTACCATGCAAATATCATCAATAGAAAATAAACATGAAAAACAAAAGCAGTAAAGCATTAAAAGAGCACAATCATGGAAACTGCAACTTAAATTCCCCAGCCTTTCTGGAAAGCAAATGCACAGCACAGGGAATGTGAGCCGTATGTGGGTGAAACAGGGAAACCAGACAACAGATCCAAGACAGTGGTCTACTTGGAAAACCAGAAGAAATATCCCATCTTTTTAGCAACCAAAAACCTTTAATAAATAAACAGAAGGAGTGAAAACAAAATAGCAAATAACAGAGAGGTTTTAATGAGAGTGTGGAAGTAAAACAATGCTTCAGAGGCACTCGGTGTACTATAAAGCAGTATTTAAGACTCAAGATCACCGAGTTAATTACAATCACCATCACAGGCTTCCAAAGTCTTTAAAACCTTTCTTAAGCAAAAATGTGCTACTGCAGGTTTACCTTTTTAACACCTAATGTTTACCTTGTGTAAGATCTGATAGTTCTTCACACAGTCATGCAGTATTTTATTTACATTGCTCTGTACAGTATGTTTCCATTTGTTCATTCTTCTCTGTTGCAGCAGTTTTGATCATGTTGTGCACACCCCTGCATACAGATTTTTCTTACTGCTGCTCATGCCGTTGTCTAACGCTTTGAGGACCAGTGCCCTCCGTCACAGCTGGAACCGGTTACAACCTGGACAGTAAAGAGGCGAGAGCAGGCGCCCTGGCTCACCTGGCAGTGCCCGGTGGCTGACGTTTAATTGGCTCCTGGCTTCTGCTTTGCAGAAGGCAAATGAAGCAAAACATACGGTCCTTCTCACACCCGACTCCCAATGCCATCAATCTGAAACGTGTAAAATTGTTGAGAACTACAGTCCTCGTTGAATAAAAAAACAACAAATTAAAGAAGCTGACTGTCTGTGGGAGACTATAAAACATAAATCGAATCAACTGAAAAGGCTGCTATACTCTGCGCCTGATCAATGTAGTCATAAAGCTAAGGCCAGAGAGGGAGCACGTCAGCATTGATTATTCCATTAGTTATGTTCCAGAACGAATGCCTGTTCCTACCCCATACTGCTATAAATACAGAGTGTTGATCAACACAACATTAGCCCTAATCTTCGCCAAAAGACTAAGATATTAATTTTCTGCAAATCTGACTGTTATCGAAGTTCACAGCTTCAAGCATACATTAATCTTGGGTCTGCGCATGAAACATTTCCATAACTACTAGAGGGGGAAAATAATTCTCTAATTCCTGAAATTAAGCAGTCAAATATGCGTTACTCATGACAGCAACTGATCCCCTAAGATGACAGCTGCACACACAACTTGAAACAGTCTTGCCAAGCTCCACAAAAAGGCACCCCAAGACCAGAATCGAACACAGGGCCCAAGAGCTGAGAGGCTGCAGTTCCAAGTGCCACCTGGTGATGATGTTGATGACCATAAAAGTGATGAAGCGAGACTATAAGTGTTGATACCTTTTCAAAAACTGTTCAGTTAAATTGCATGATGCTTGACATCTGTTCAGTGGTTGAAGAGGCTAAAGAATGAACTAAAGGCTAAAGAATGAATCAAGAAAAACTTTTATTAGGGATTAATTTGCTTTGTAATGTGTGCAGCCCACTGCTCTGGTACAGCTGCTTCTTTTTCTTGTTGGGAATGTACTCTTCATATATGCAAAGAGTCTGCATCTGCTTGTACAGGGTTTTATCAAGAACATTAATCACTTGAAAGTCAATACTGAAGAAGTATCCAAAGTAACAAAAGGTACCAAAACTTATGCTGTGCCTGATTTGTACAGTACACTATAGTGCATAGTGTAATTTTACTTTGAAGTGATCCTAATCCCCACAAACTGTTGCAGGAGGCAATTGGAAAAGAGCTAATTAATTCTAGGTAAGGGCTTTGCAAAATTTCATAGTAGATCACCATCTTGTCAATACAATGCTTATGGAGGTGAAATAAATAGCACCACTCACATTGAAAAACAAACAAGTATCAATTATAATGAATTAAGAAGGCAAAACCTGCTCCTCTGTCACATTCCTTTCTGACATACCAAATTTCTCTTTGTCGTTCCAAACTATTCTGACATGGGGAAGGGTTCAAAGCTTTTTATTCTACAACAAAATTCCTTTCCTGGAAGTGATGGTGAAAGAAACCAAGGAGGAGATACTGTACAGTATATTGTGTTTACACAGTGTAGGAAAATAGCCTTGATACTGTTTAAGAAAGGTTAGAAATGAAAGGAGGCCATCTGACCCATCTTGCCGAGAATTCAATTTGGAATTAACAGAAGCAAAGAACATTTTTGCACTGAAGCAAAAGGCTTTGGAAGTGGTCCCTTAATTGCTCTGTGCGCCTTCTCTGAAAAGCAAAGCTCAGCAGAGTTAGGTCTGTCTAATGTAGCTGTCAGGTGTGCCAGGAGCAACATATGCTTGTTTGACAAAGGGCCTTTTTAATCTGGCTAATTAAACAGTCAGACACACCCGCCCACAAACAATCCCTTTGCTGCACAGGGCTCCCAGTGTTCCTATGTCAAGTGATTCCACTGCAAACACGCTCTGACAGAGGGCTACTTAACCAATGCAACTTCACATTCAAGAGCGAGAACCTGCCACAGCACTGCAGCACGCACTGTTTATAGGTCTAAATCCGCATCTCCCTGCACAACAGTGTCTGGCTCCTACAAAAGACAGGACGAAAACAAACTCCAGCTCAAAGACAGTCCCAGCAGTGAGGTGTCTCTCACTGGGAGACCTAACCGTAGCTGAAAACCAGAGAGACTGACACGGACACTTAAAAACCATGATGGACTGGTGTGCTGTCCAGGGTGAGTGTGTGTGTCCTGTGATGGACTAGAGTCCTGTCCGGTGTGTGACCGTCCAGTAACTGGAACTATGCTTTATGTCCTTATTTATTGGATATAGCTACTAACACTTATTTGTTTATGTAAAAATGATACACTGTACTTTCCATCCGCACTACAACACTCCCTAATGGAACTGAAGACCCTTATTGTCTCATGGGAGCCACAGTGGACTCATTCAAACTGTAAAAAAATATACTCGACACTGAAGTGCAACTAAAATCCTGAAAATAACCGAGAATATAAACCAAACTTGCAAACAGTAACAGACAAAGTTTGCAGCACCTGCATTTTGGGTACCGACTTCACAAGAAAGTTTGATGTTAACTGCTGTTACGTACACTAGTTAACTACAAGTATTTAGACGTGAATGCCTTTTGCTGAGCCAGGTTTCATCTATTCACACACTGCTCACTGGAAGCAGGCACCCCATTACAGTGTAGGAAACCACTAGGTTGATTTAGAATTGTTAGGAGCAAGGGTAGTTTGTACAGTTACCCTTTTGTTTCAGTTGTAAGAATAAAAATGGATGTTTTGATTTCATTTTGTAAGGGGGTAAAAGGAGTAAAGTATAAATGAACACATCAATTAAAAATATGAACCACTAAGAAAAAAGAAAAAAAATTCTCAATTCGGCAGCGAAATTAAACCATGCATCTACAAATTTCAGACTTCACAGACTTCAAAACTGCTATTCCATTGGCATGACAAGTACTTGCAGATTTTTTTTTGGTACAGTACAGGCTAAGCAGTGACGTACCCCATCTGCCAACTTCAGACAACTCCAAGCTGTGTAGGAGATGGTAATGGTAAAATCAACTAAATGCAGAACTCATACATCTGAAGCACAAATAGAATGTCATACAACAAGTGGACAAAAGTAACACAAATGCTGAATATAGTGTAGCTCTGTGTAGATGTCTGGATCATCCTAACCTAATGCATGTCTCTAGTTAGCGCTGTGAAACAGTACCAGGTCCCCACTCTCCTCATGATCCAAATCATTGCTAGCATGTCAAGAGAGCAAAAACACTGACAAATTCTCCATGACTGCTGTGAAATTGTAAAAATACTTCTAGCTGCAAGCTGTGCATGATTAGCCGCGCAAGGGTGATCAAGTCAACAAATTTCTTTCACACTTTTCGGGGGCTTCCAGATGGTGATGCCTGTGCATGGAAATGGCTTAGTTCGGAAGCACGATTGGAGCCAGACCGAAACACCGGAATACAGCTGAACCAGCCTCTCCGAGAGGAAAGTGGATTTTATCTGCGA